GGATTTTAATAGGAGGTTTAAGCAGTGTCAGGTGCAAACAATTTCTCATGCTACTTGCTCTTTACCTGTTTACATGGCCCATAACCACAGTAACCCTTTTTTTCCCAGGAATACACTGGAATCCACATTGAGTGACATCTATACTACAAATCTTTGCTGTAGGTCAGGATTTTTGCTTTCCAGTGCACAGTACCTATTTTTCTATGGAAGATCAACAGAAGCACAGCAGTGAATGGAGATGCATTGGAACCCTTTCTGATGAGGATAACTCTGCTTTTTTCTTTCCCAATCACCGTATTATTTTGTTTACTAAATTACTTTTTTTTAAAAAAAGTTGTGTTTTTCTTATAAAAAGTACTGAAAACTGCTAATTTGGTCCTAGGAATTCAAAGCTTTAGGTGCCCTCACTATAGCACAGTCAAAAAGAGGGTACATTTCAAGTGCCACAAGGGTGTGGGAACTCCAGGTATCCAAAAAATGCTTGTTCTTCCCCTTGCTAAATTATCCAGATCAAGGAATGCTAGATTTCAAAAAACCCAAAGTGAATGCCCCACCTATTTCTTTTTGGTGCAGAGAACATAAAGCAGGTTTCACAGCCCAGTCCTCCTCACTGCCAGCAGTGCAGCAGCTGGACTCAGAACAGCTGAGAAGTGAGATCATTGACTCACACTGTGTATGCTGCTGCTTGAAGGTGTTTGGTGGTCTTGAAGCTGTGAGTGAGGGTGAGGACTTGCACTGGGATGTGCTTCACAAAATACTGTCTGCTGATAAGAAATCTGTTGTACTGTAGATTGATTTGCTTTTCAGCAATTTTTTAATATTAAACATGAAATTTAGAGTTGAATTTAGGCATAAAGAGAGCTAAAGAATAAACTGCTATTTATGTTATATTTTTACTTCCTAAACAAATGTAGCAGATTTACTATTGATTTTGAAGAATACTTGGCTATTTTTATCAATTAGTTGCTCTTATCTCATGTAAGTTAATTGCCTGTAAGTGCACAGTTGTGCCCATTAGAAGCTTCATATGCGCGATCCATGGGCAACAAATAATGACAACGGCAACAAGCTTTGCTGCTCAGCTAGTCTCTAACTGCAGCAGGGAACTAAAAGACCATAAACATAAGGGACCTTCTGTGGCACTGCTAAGGATTTTGATTATATTTTTGGTGTCAGTAATAAAAGCAGGTTTTCCATTTACTTTGATTTGGACTGATCACACGGAATTTCAGAAAAAGAGTCAATAATGTACATGCAGAGGAAGTTGCCACTGTTCTGGTCCCTTTTACTGGATGCACAAGCAAAACAAACTGTTACAAAGACGCTGCTTCAATTTTTATTAACAGTAAACAAAAACACCAGAACAGTGCTGTGAAAGTTTGTGTCAGGTGTCGGGTAGACAACCCACTGCTGCTTATTGCTTGTAACAGGGGAAAAAAAAAAGTAGAAAGATAGAGTGGGTCAGATCGGATTTTTTACTTTGTTTTTTTTTCACACTTGCATAATCCAGTTGCTATATGTAACAGCATGCAATGGATCAGGATGTGATTAACAAGGCTCACAGTGTGTTCACATCAGGAAATATTTGTTAGCTTCCTAAAAGGAACTGTATATTTCTATTTTTATTAAGTTTGTGATTATGTAGTATTAGGCATAGGAGATTGGCTATTATTGCATTTCCAAATTCCAAACTCCACTCTTTTTCTATTTTTTTTCCCTTGATAATGAGTAGCATTCTTATGCCTAATACTTTGTACTTGCACAGTTTAACAAGCTCTCACAACTCTCTCTTTGTGCTATCATCTCTAATAAAAAGATACTAAATCTGAAGAACAATTCTTAAAGAAAAAGTTTTAATCTTTAATGTCTGCAACTATATGTTTCAATCACTCTTTGGCTCTTAAATATGTGATCTGTCTTTTTTCAAAGACCCTGACTTGTCTGTATTGATAAGGAAGTCAATGGGATATAAGAATACCAGAACTTTGGAAATTATGGCAGTCAGACAGGTAAGTGATAGATTTGGATATGTAACTTGCAGAACTTGTTTTTATTTTTTTTTGTTTTCTAAATGTCTTGCCTCAGGGAGAGATAAATCAGTGATTTAGGGGCCATGAATTACACTCTTCATGCCCCTTGCTTTGAGTATCAACTTCACAAATACTTGCCTGTTTATCTTGACACTCATGTCCAAGTGCTGTGGCATTTTTCTTTTTCTTTATTTTCTTACTGCATTTTTTTGAATTATTGTCATGAGTTTGGAGGGACAATGGACAGTGTTTTTCTGCAGCTGAAGAATTTATCTGTCTACTTTAAAAGTAAAACAGCCTTTAAGTAAGAAACTGGCATTAAGCTGATGCTTACAGAACTCCTGTTGTCATGTTGTCCAAAAAATGACAAATGTAAATTACAAGGAATAGGTTTGATATTGCTGTCATTAATTAGAAATTATGGCATCAAACCAAAACTTACTGGAATTTATCTAAACTCTTATTTAACCCTCTGTCAAATTAAGTTCAACAAACTATAATTAATTTTATAATTATATTTTTGTGGTTGTGGCTTCAACCTGACTGGGAAAAAAAATTCCCAGCAAAGTGCAAGTAAAGATTTTCAAACTCTGCCACTCCAAGCAGTCATGGAACCCTTTTTCCCAGGGAAGTGACTGGAGGCTGGGGCAGGGTCTGCTTCAGTGCTCCCTCTGCTGCCCTGCTACTGGCTGAGGCAGTGGGATGAGCTCTGCCCTGATGGACCTGGGAAAGCTTCCAGCACTCCTGGCTCTGGGCTCACAGGGAGCCCACTGGGCATCCTTGCTCGTATTTCTAAAGGAAAAATGAGTATTTAGCAAGCAGCATTGCTGTTTGTTTTACTAAGGGATGAATGAATTAAAATGTTCACAGATGTCTTCTTAAATAAGAACAGGGAAGTAGGGATAGGAAATGTTGCTTCTTCTTGAAATGATTAGTCTTTCCATAGGCTGAACAGAATATGCAAACGGTAAACCTTTTGTACTCTTCCAGCATAGGGAGACCTCGAAGCAGATCACTAGGCTGTCCATGCAGAATTGAGGGTGATTCTCTAAGTTAACAGATCATTATATGGAAGGTATATTCCTAATATGTCTGAATAAACTTTTCAAAAGTGTATCATGCAGCTCAATATTTTGTGCCTACAAGTGCAAAAGCACCAAGTATTTCAAAAATTAAGTTGGTGTTTTGGCTTATGCAGACGGATAAGTATTTGAATCTTGGCTCACTAATCCTCTGAAGAACATAATTTTGTACCCTGTGTGTAATAACAAAAAATCTCTTGATTTTTTAAGAGTTTTTGTTCTCAGTTTGCCTCTGCCTTTGGGTAAAATCAAGGAATCAAAAGATATTTAAAAAAATACTTTACAATTAATCTTTGGCTTAAATATCAAAACTTTATAATAAGTTTACTCATGAGCAAGAGAAAATGTTCAGGATGATGGCTCAAATGTGTGTGTACATATATATATATATACACACTCTATTTTAGCCAAATAATGGAAGTAAATACACATACATATATGCATGTGTATGTATATATATGCATATTATAGATATAGATACACATTTAATATTCATACTTTTAAAGATCCATATAATTTGGGTTTCTTTTCTTCATTGCTATTTGCTGTGATGGTGAACTGCTATACACTCTGCAATGGATAGCACCGAACACAACTCTGCTCTTACATATCAACACTGGTTTTTCTCTTTTTTTTTTTTTTCATTCCTCTTTTTTAATTCCACAAAGAATGCTGCCTTCAGTCAAAACCTTTAATCCTCGTGTCCTATAGCGTTTATAGCAAGAAGTGAGGCCTATTTAGAGAGGCATTTCAATTCCCCCTCAGGCCAAAAGAAAAACATGTTATTTCTAATGCCAGCACTGTGGCCTCATATGCTAGGAAACTAGTGACATTTTGACATAGTCAGGGACAGTTCTGAATTACGTGGTGCTGCTGTTCATAACATAAACTGGAGCTTAAGCACTTAGAGAGCCTTCTCTATATCTGTAACCTTGTTTCTTTGCCAGACAAGTGACTGTCTGCAGGGAATGCAGCAGCACTGCTGTAGTATCGGAGCTAGGCTGCACAGTGTGTTTTCTGGTTACCCCATTGCTGTGCACCAGCCCTGGCCAGCTTCATCACCTGATCAATTCAAATGCGGCTGCCGTGCTGGGAGTGCATCACCAGCTGGCTCGAGGGCTCAGCCACCAACCCTAAGGCATTCCAGCCAAAAGTGGTCAGTGGGTGCTGCACTGTCATGGGCACCTTGCAACCCAAAAAATGCCTGGCCCGGCCCCAGGCTCAGGGGGAAAGACTGTGTGAGGAAACACTGCCATGTTCTGGTTGTCAGACTCTCATTTCTAATCTCTTCTAGGGATTTTGTCTTACAGCAAATAAGAAGATTTTGGGTGCAAGCTCAGGGGATCAAAATGTTGTTGAAGAACTTGCGGGTTCATCACTTTTCTGTAAATAACATATAAAAGCATCTTAGTATGGACACAGCAACATATTCACAGATTGCATTCCCCTCTCCCATTGACAATATCTACTGCTACCAATGTGCTGCTCTCTCTTTACACATGCCTCAGCTGTAGAGTGTTCTTTTAATATTTTCCTTTATATTCTGACCTTGAGGTAATTTGGTGAATGAAAAAATACCTTCCTTTCTTTTCACAGCTTTTACTGTTTGAAAATCTGTGTAGAACATGGATCCCTAAACCTGTTAGGACAGGTTTGTTTGTTTAGAAAATATACATCTCTCTCAGTAAGCTTCATGTACATTTCATTTATACAAATATTGCATCTGGATACCTGAAGCACTCATTGCATCTCCTGGAATACTTCACTGGGATTTCATTTCCTAGGCAACCCAAAATCTCTGCATGATCTCCATTATATTCTAAATCAAGAATGGACTACACAGTCTGTTGGACTGCAGCATCTTGAAATTTCCTAATCTTAATCTTAGTATTTTTTATTTTAATGAAAACATATGAAATAGCAGAAAATCACATATATTTTATCCTAAGCATACAGCAGATTCAGCAGACTTCACAGTTCATTGGACACCTTTAAGGACCTTGGGGCAATTGTCTAAGTAGTCACCAAGCAGATACACTGCTTTGATATTGTAACTGAAACCTCATCTTTGAGCAGGATAAATTTCTTCAAAATATATTATGGCAAACACCAGTCCCTCTACAAACATGGTGCTGTAGCCAAGGCAGCCAAGACCAGCTCCTCACTGAAAACACACTACAAATAAATGTAGGCAGAGAAAATGAGGTAAGGAAGTTTTCATTTATGGATAAGGCTCTTGGGTTACTTATATGACCTGATAACTCTGGGGAGTAAACCCACTTTGTGGCAGGGATAAAAATTTGTTTTGTTTGGGAGTTGGGGCGAAGGAAATTTTAATTTATAAATTTTTTTTTTTTAGGTTTGGGGGGGGGGGGGGGGTAGGCTATGTTTATTTGTTTCTTTGTCCACTTTGTTCTGATATTGATGAAAAGTAATAAAACTGCATATTAATGGAGGATAATAATCTATATTCTGGAGGAAATGGGTGCACACAAAAAAATACCAAGGCATTTTTTTTAGCAAGGCAAGGGAAATCGGAAATGACCATCCTATTATATAGGTTTAAATGGTGTACTGCTGTAGAGATATATGATTTATACAAGTATTTATAGTTTTTTCCTTCCCCTAGATATACTAATTTTGATAATAATTTCTGATATTTTAAAAGTGTTTCTGAAATACAACTATTTCATATGGTATTTTGATGAGATTAGATTAAATTACTGCATTTCAAATGTACCAAAGTATCTCCAAATATTTGCTGCTGTTTTAGTCAAAATGTATAATTAACTAAAATTCCTTGATATTACTGCCCTCTTCTTGACTTAGTGTCTCATTAGAAAATGTTATTTGATTTTTGATATGCGATGAAATTTTTTGCTCTTTTTTTACATGCAATGTCTTGTTATCAAAAAGCCTGGACATAATCATTTGATAGTTGTCATTTTTTCTCTACATGAATGGAAGAGAAATCTTACACTAAGTTTTCCTCACCATACATTAAAAAATGAATATTTTTTAAAGTTTTATCGCTTTAATTTTTAATATAGCAGTACCATTATTCAGCTCTGCATTTTACAAAAATGCCTATGTTAAGTATCGTAATATTTATTCTTTTTTTGGATAATTTTATATTTGTTTTTCAAACGTGACTTTCTAGGTTTGTCAGCTTTAGCATGTGCAATGCCTAATAAGAAGGGAAAATAAAAGCCATTTTATGCTTTAACAAAATTTTGTCAACTTTTAGAGATGTGTAAAGATGAAGAGTGGCAAAAGCAGAGAATTTCATTGAGGTGGTTTCCAGTGACTGAACTTTTCTTTAAAAAGTGCATCTGTATTCTGAAAGAGGCGCGTGAACTGGCTGGTAAATGTCATAATTGTAAAATCTCTTCATACAATAACCAATTACAAGTTCTTTAATTACTCGTTTGTGCTCCAGAAAGGGTGGATTTATGCTTCCTTAAAACCATAATTATCTTGTCTTCATTCCTGACAGTAAGTATATTGCGTAATATGAACTCACACTGTGGGAATATGAACATGCAACTTTCTGGCTTATGACTTATGTAGCAAATGAAATATGTTTTCCTCATTAAAATAACAAGAACTTTAATCACATGCATTACTATCTAGGCTGCTTAGAATAGAAAAGGAATTATGCTAGCTTGCATTTGTATTGCAAAGAAGACTCAAAGATGACCCTATGGTTGAAAAAGAGTTTGTTGGATAGGCTTGACTACTTTATGCCTGTTTTCTAAACCACAGTCAGAGATTTCTTTTTTCTCCTTCTAGGGCATAATTATGAGGCTTATCCAGTGGCAGTACAAAACAAATCATAAGGGGTTTCTTGATTTCATATGGAAGCACACATAAACTGATTATTCTGATAAATTTATAGTTGAAGTAAATCGTTCCTCACAAGGAATCATTATCAAGATAAATATCTCAATTTTGTTGGTTATTTACTCATCAGAATCAGAGTTTTTATCAGCATATGCTGTCATTAGTAGACATGGCATTTCCAGAGATGTTTGCAGGGGAAATCATAAGCAGATACCGTGAAGTTTTATATTCTAAAAAGGGATGAAGTACATAGTTGAGATTAGTATGAAAATTCTAGCTTTAAAAAAGGTAACATTAGTATTTAGAAAGCTGACCTATAAAGAGGGGGAAATAAGAGTAGGTTGTTTCTTTTTTATTTGCTGTAAAGCCCTATTTCAGGACAATGATGACAGGATAATTCTTGACAGTACTTGAGCATGTTTATATCTTAAATCCTGATCTTTTCCTTACTTTCACAGCCAGCCAAGGAATTTAAGCATAAATTTATTAAATAACATAAAATTCAGAATTATTACCATTTCAGAGGACTCAAAACAAACCCATTCTCTCTCTTCTTTAAATTCTTACTTTAAAAATATCATTTAAATAAAAGTCAGAAGAAATGATGCTTTAAAATGCAAAGAGAGGAGCTCTTCGCTGCTATTGTTTTTTTCATCACATCTCACTTTTGAACAAAGGCCCTCGAGAAGGAGAGGGTAGGGAGTGCAGGGTTATGGATGTCTGTGGCCTGTGAACTAAGGAAGAGGCTGGAGGGACTAGAAGAAGCATTGGTGTCAAGACAGAAAGGAAAACTAACTGGGAAAGACAGAGAAATATACAATGAAGCTTTGTTGCTTTCAAGTCAATGAAGTAATCTAACAGCTTTCAGCAGTTACATATCTTGCATAAAACAATAGCTCAGCACATCCAGCCTTCTCATAATCCTAAACCTCAACCTTCCTGGCAGGGAAAGCTGTCTCAGCTGCTGGAAGAGCTTGCAAAAAGGTTGCACAATTGTAGAACAGGGAATCAGCAAAGGTGTTGCTTATGACCGCAGACAAGTTACTAAGTAGTAACATTTTCTTTTGTGTATATTGGGTTTCACAGTGAGAATGCCACAACTTAGGTGTCATCAAATTTGGGAAGTTTAGCAACCCAGCTTGGTAGTTGAGCAGAGAGGCAGCTGAAGGAGATGAGTGCATGCAAACAGCTGAGTGATAAGGACTACAATGAAAGAAGTAGAGGACACTTGTGGACAGACAGACTTCAGTGAGGACGCTGTAGAAGAGAATTTGCAGCACTGTGACCTGCATGGACAGAAGGGTTATCAGATAGAGAGCAATTGTTCAGGTAATTGTGGTAGCATTTGGCTAAAGCTCATGAATGTTCTGTTAAATACAGGTTTGCCTTGGAGGATGAGGTGCAGCCTGGTGTTTTTTAAAGCTCTTATGAAAGTCTGTGATCCTTGTTCTCTTGGCAGAATAATTAATTACAGTGACACTGACGATTATGGTTTGTGCTGTCTCCAGTACCATATTCCAGCCAAGGGTTATCCATGCTCTCATAATTCCTGTGCAAGCATAGGAGGAAAATAGCTATGAAATGTGAGCAGGATTTTAGATTCCCACCTAGTGAAGAAATTAGCAAATTTCTATTGGAGCCACTGTTGGTAATAATTGCAACAGTTTTGATAATGGTCAAGATGGTTTGGGAATGAGAAAATAGTCAAGAAGGAGATGAATTCTGATGATATTAACACAGACTTTTATGTCAATGCTAATAAAGGGGTCTGACTACCGTCAGTCTGGTATATCACTCCTTAAACTGGGAGACTTGGCAATAGCTTGCCTGCTAGGAATTACTAGAACATGTAGCTGAAGAATATTCTATGTTTCAAAGATTTTTTTTTATAAATTCTCATGGAAACATACTTTGTACTACATTTTTATTCAAAGTCGTAATGACTTCTAGTGAAAAAATATACAAAATGTATTTTTAAAAAATTGGAAATGTAGCATGTAGAATATTTAGTGCTGTAAATCATGCCAACAGAGTGTGTGTGAGTTTCACTTTCACCAAGTAACCGTAAGTTTTCCATTGGTGACCACTCAGTTGAATGAAGTGAAATTTACAAAAAAGGCTCAAAATCAGTAACATACAAGCCAATTGCTCTACAGTCCTTTGGTGTTCATGGTGTGTTTGGGTATTTGAAAAGCAAAAACCTTTGGAAAAGGTGCATGCCAGGAACAGCAGCACTCAAATTCAAAACATGAGTGCAAAGGCAGGATGAATTCAGCTACTTAAGTAAGAACTTGACATACAGTTAATATGACTTCAGAGGGAAAATGTAAATAGGATTAAGAGATGAAAAGCAGTAAGGAATGGAAATTGGAGGCCTGTGCTGGATTCAGTAGGACTCAATAAGGAAAGATGTTTCCATGTGAACAGTAGGAAATGGTTAATCTGCTGCAAAGTTATGACACTTCCAAAACTCTATATTTTGCACTCCTATCTCATCATGTAATATATCCTCTGAGGTGTATCATACCAACACAAGTATTTCAATGTGCCAAAAATGAGCTTGGTGTGGACTAATTCCCTCACCTACATCCCTGTGAAGCTTTAGAAAGAAGCACTTATGGAACTGGTATGTGAACTGCCCTGATGAAGTATTTAAGATAATTTTACAAAGCAGTTGGAAGCATGCTCTGTCCTGAGGGCATCAGATCTTATGTGGCAGTGCTCATATAATTATACTAAGATGGATTGCCATATCACTCCCTGGGCCTCTGCCTGGAATAAATCCCACATCCAGCTAGCGAAAGAGAAATGCGACTTGCAGGACTGGCATGAATTTTATTACATCCCAGTACTCTAAAGACAGACCCAAACCTTTTCAATCACTGATTTCTTTTAAGTGTCACTCAATTCTAGCCTCATCAGAAGATACTAGTGATACCCACATTAAAAAAAAAAAAAAGTAGCTGAGATATTACTTTTGAGTTGACCTGTCCCCTGAAACTACCTGTCCCACATCTCTGGTATCCCTTAAATTGACTAGTTAGACTTAAATTAATGACATCACATTTATAATTCTGACTTTTTCTCAATGTGAGGTACTGGTGCATTTTCTGAGGCTGGGGTTTCTGTATTTACACCATACTCCACAAATATATTTTGACAAATTATCACCAGAGCTTTGGTGACAACAGCAAAAATGTGTTGCATAGTTACTGAACAAGTATGGATTCAAAGCCAGATACAGATATGAGATCCTTGCACAAAAAGATATCTCTCACAGTCTTAAGAGACAAAAACCTTTGCAGTTTACAGATGAAAATCTGTACTAATTTAAACTGTAATTCTGTACAGCCACAGATTTC